TCATTCCTCTATGTGAGCATGTTAATTGTCTCATTTAGGGTAGCTTGTATCTTGCCTTTGAGCTCTTCCTCCTTGGAGTCCATATCCTCAAAGTGAGCCTCTATCACTTTAAGCTTGTCCCTCACATTAGCTACTATCACCTCCACCTTGGCTAGTCTCCCATCCAGGGTAGACTAAATGTCTCTCGAACTAGCCTTTTTCCCCCTTCCACGACCTTGCTCCTGGGCCTCTAGTTGTTGGTTAGCAACATTGCTTTCGAATGCCATCTCCTCGACTATGATCTGGCAACCTATACACTAAACACGCAAGCAAAACTTGCCTAATACCAACTATCACGGGCTCTAGACTTAAGTTTGAATTTGTGTGATTTTATGGCTTGGAATTAACTTTGTATGCCTAAGTTCAGCCTTTGCAACTAGCATATGGGTAAATAAGAACAAGAAAGGGTGGAATTCATAAGCTAGTGAACATAACAGAATGCTAGAATATGCTTTATGTATTACTGAAATAGAATGTGAAGATGTGAGTACAACTAAAGGTAGGGGTAACCTTCTATTTATAGTTAAGGTCGTCAGCTCTACTTTTGGTTATCTCTTAAAATAATGGGATTTACAAGTGAAAATAAGATATTTCAAAGATTACACATATTACATGAGGCTTCTCTTGATTTTTGAGGTCAACTAGATCTTCTTACTGAATGATGCCGATCTTGGATGCCTCTAGAAGATTCTAGATTGGCCTAGCTCCTCTAGGTCCACCTGGATGTAATGCGAGCATGTTGTGGGCTTGCTTTTGGCTATGTGGGTAGGCCTGTATGCTGTGCAAGTGGTCTAGACACTTTTCCCATGCTTACTGCACCAACCTCTACAACTATCCTTGGTGTTCGAGTCTTACTCCTTGGTGCTTGGCCTATGTACCTGGTGCACCCACCCAGGGCGTGACATCTGTACTTGACCCTTTTAGAACCTTCGATGCTTGCATACCTGGCTTGCCTCTAGGCACCTCTATACCCTTTTGTGCCTACCCATCTAACCAATCTCTAGCCTAATCTAGAAGCTTCCATGCCAATGTGTTTGGCTTGTGTCTAGGCAGTTCTAGGCCTTTTTATGCTTGACTACCCATGCCATATTCCAGGGCTTTCTAGAGCATTCCAATGAGCAGTCCTTATCCCTGGCACTGTGTAGCTCACTTTAAGTGTATTCCTACACTTTGGCCTTGGCCTTTGCCCCTATCTGCTAGTTCTTACTACCAGCAATGCACTCCTAGCTTTAATTGGCTAGGTCATTCCTCTGACACTATTACTTTGAAGAAATTAGAGAGCTTAAAATAGGCCCATGCTTGTATACATTAGCATGGGATAACATCATAGGATTTCGATCCTATTTTGTTGGCCTTTTGGATTGAAGTAAAGATTAATAGGAACAGTCATAATGATTTTAAAATTAATTAAAACTTACTGAAAGAAATTTAGGTCTGCGAAATCAAGATTAGGTCCAGGAATAGGGTTATTAGTGAGTAAGGCATTAGCACCCTCACATTGCCTGTTTGAAGAACAGTATCATTTAAACATGCGTAATACTATAATTTTGATAACAGGGTCCTTTTTATTTAAGTTTAATTTCCTAAAATTTATTTTAAAACATTTTTCTTTGTTTCAAAATTAACATTATTATTATTATTTCGTATTCTATAAATTCTCCAATGCTTTGGTGGAATTTATAGAAAATCACTATTTACAAAGTATTTTGAGAAAATTGACCATTCACAAAATTCTTGAAACTTCATCATAAGATATTTTAATTATTTATTTAAAAAGGATTTTTAGAACATCCCGACTCTTTGGTGAGTTCCTAAAATTCTAAACAAATTTTAAGATTATCCCGACTCTTCGGTGAAATCTAAATATTATGGTTATTTTAAAATTTTGTATTATTTATTCTCTATTTATTTTTTATAAGAAAAAATTTAGATTATCCCGACTCACCGATAAAATCTAAATATTAATCTCTTATTTGTATTGAAGAAAATTGAACTCTTTCAATTTTCTATATTTTTAAATATTAAAAATATCAATTATTATTAATTTCATTTTTTATTATTGTTTTACATTGTTTAAATCAATCTTTATTTTAGTAAAAATAATTTTGGATTATCCGAACTCTATGGTGAAATTCGAAAAATTATTTTTACTTGCAATAATTAAAGATACATTTTAGCTTTTTCTAAAAATTATATTTAACAGATACATTTAAACAATTTATTTTTTTATTTATCAATTTTCATTTATTTTTTAGCAAAACTTATCTTTTAAAATTATCCCAACACTTTGGTGAAATTTAAATAATATTTTTGCTTATAATAAAATTTATTTCCTTTAAGTAGTTATTATTATTAATTTTTTTTATATTTTTTCAGGTCTTTATTTTATTTCAGTTTTAGTTTTTATTCTATTTTATTTTTTTTAAAAAAAATTATTATCAGTAACAATATAAAATAACAATAATAAAAAAAACATAAAAAATCAAAATTAAAATCAAAACGAAAAATAAAAAGAAAAAGAAAAACTTGCAAAAAGGGTCATATTGGCGTGCGGATCCTATGGGGGTCGGGCTCGGTCCAGACGTCCAAAACGATGTCATTTTCAAGGGCCTATAAAAAGCCTGTTTTTGGTTTTTTTCTTTATTTTCTCCTTTCCCCTTTCTCTCTCAACCCAAAGCTCATATCTCTAAAAAACCTAGCCCCTATGCCAGCCGTCATGGAGCCAAGTTTCCTGACAGTTGCCACCGTACACCGCTAGTCGAAAACTTCAACAGTACTGAAAAATTCAAAGATCCCTAAATTTCAGTGGCCAAAAAATTCAACAGTCACAAAAAAATTCAAACATTTGTAGATTCCGATGCCAAAAAATTCAACGGTCGTCGAAAAATTCAAACTTTCCAGTTTCTGGTGACCCAAAAATTTTTTTAAAAATTTCACTAATGATCCTTTTTGCTTTCTAAACACCTTTCTAAGCCCAAATTTTTCAAAAAAAATCTATACATTCTCGAAAAAAAATTTTATGTGTTTTCTATTTTTTTTATTATATGTGTTCCTTCTTATTATTTTTTTTGTTTGTTTCTTACAAAGATTAGCTCTATTTATAGAGCTTGTGAGATTCAAGATCCCAGATCTTCTGGGATCTTTTTGTGGAAATTTTGGGTGTCTATCTGGTGATTGTTGGTGATCGGATTGCATGCTGTCGTGTTAAGCAGTGTCAGGAAGAAATTTGGACCACTCTGGCAACTTGATTTTGGTTGCCAGAGTTGAAATCAAAGACTTTTTTTTACTTTTTTTTTCTTTTGTTTTAAAGATTAATAATAATAATAATAATAATAATAATAATAATAATAATAATAAGAACAAAATTATATAATCATAATAATAAGAAAAGAACAAAATTGGTGCCTACAGTTGCCCCTTTTTGCTTATTTATGAGAATTAAGATAAAGCAAAGACAAAAACACCAATTTTGTTCAGATAAACACGTACAAAAAATGAAACATTTAACATAAAGTTTTTTTTTTAAAAGAAATTTGAAAGGCTCCTCTAAACAAAGGCTATATAACTTTAAATTCAAAAAGCTCCTCTCACCAGAGGTAACAAACTTTAAATTCAAAAGCTGCTTTAACCATAGGCAATGAATTTTAAATTCAAAAGGCTCCTCTCATTAGAGGCAACAAACTTTAAATTCAAAAGGCTCCTCTCACTAGAGGCAACAAACTTTAAATCCAAAAGCTCCTTTAACCAAAGCTAATGAACTTTAAATTCAAAAAACTCCTTTAACCAAAGGCAACAAACTTTCAATGTTAAAAGGCTCCTCTCACCAGAGGTAACAAACTTTAAATTCAAAAGCTCCTTTAACCAAAGGCAACAAACTTTAAATTAAAGATCTGAGAGGCAATGGTATTTGAAAGATTTCTTTAAACAAAGGGTTCACATCGTTCCTACTTTTGACTTTTTCTTTTCTTGGTCTTGGATTGCCGTAGACCCATACATCTATCATGTCATATGAATGCGTGAATGATATTTTCATGTTTTTGCAATGCCATGCAATAAATGATGATCATGATGCAAATACACTTATTATGAAATGAAATGACCATTTTCTTTCTCTTTTTTTTTGTTTTCATTTTCCTTTAATCCTCAAAATTTCTCAAAGTTTGTTTCTTTTCTTCTTCTCTTGAATCCTAAGCATTCCAACACTTGATTAAGCTCAGATAAAAAAAGATTTCTCTTCATATCCTATATTCCATGTCAACCACTTTAAGACCTATAAGACACTTTTCTCATAAACCTTTGTTCCCTACTATTTTGCTTATCATTTTAAATCTCCTTCAAAATAATGTGTGTGTCTTTTATGGTCATTGTTATTCCTTCAATATCTTTTGAATTTCAAACAATTATAACACATTGCACATTCCTCTTTTTAATGAGAGGGACAAAAGGAAGGATAAATAAAATGGTATTTTATTTTGGTAAAAAGGAGAAAGGTTTCCTATGTTATAAAAAAGGATAAAACAAGGACAACAAGTAATCACATAACAAATATTCATATCATCATGAACTAATTCGTCATGGATTCTTTTCTGAAGACTCTTAATTGGTGCCCTTGACATTTTGAAAATGTAGCAAACCAAACTAGCCCAAAACCATTGAGATCTTCTAGCACATATTGAGAATTGAGCCACTCCATTCACTATCCCCTTTTATTTTTATCTAAGCTGCCCTTTCAGGTTTTCAACTCAAATATCTTTTAAATTCATTTTACTTTTTTTTTAAGCATAATACTTTTTTATGGCTTTGATTGGATTTAACAGATCATCTCTATCCATTCTTGCAAAGATCAGTGCCTCATCAGAAAAAGCTTTTTTCACCATATATGGGCCTTCTTAATTAGGAGTTCATTTTCCTCGAGGATCCTATTGGTTAGGAAGAATCTTTTTCAATACTACTTCTCCCTCTCAAAATTGTCGTGGTTGAACTTTTCGCATCATTCTTCTTTGATACAGTTGGCCATGGCAAAGTGTAACTAATCTCTTTTCTTCAATGAGATTCAATTGTTCATATCGAGTGTGAACCCACTCAGATTCTTCTAACTCAACCTCTATGAGAATGCACAATGAAGGAATTTTAACTTCGGTGGGTAACACTACCTCCATCCCATGTACCAATGAAAATGGTGTAGCTCCCATAGATGTGTGTATCAAAGTTCGATAAGCATGTAATGCAAATGGTAGCTTTTCATGCCAATCTTTATACACATTTATCATCTTTTCAATAATTCTCTTTATGTTTTTATTGGTCACTTCAACTGCCCCATTCAACTTTAGATGATAAGGTGCTGATTTATGATGTTTGATTTAAATTGAGCACATACCTCAATCATCATTTTATTATTCAAATTAAGAGCATTATCCAAAATGATCATTTCTGAAAGGCCATATCGACATATGATCTGTTTCTTGATGAACTTACAAACCACCATTCTTGTCATATTGACATATGAAGCCGCCTCTACCCACTTTGTGACGTAATCAATTACCACTAAAATGAATCGATGTCCATTTGAGGCTTTTGGTGTGATAGGCCCTATCACATCCTTTCCCCATATAGAGAAAGGCTAAGGTGTTGACATAACATATAAGGATGTTGGAGGAACTTGAATCTTGTTTGCATAAATTTGACATTTGTGGCATTTTCTAGCATACTCAATGCAATCTTTTTTATTGTCAACCAATAGTATCCTACTCTTTTTATTTGTTCAGTCATCATATGACCATTTGCATGAGTTCCACAAACACCTCCATGAATTTTTTCTAGTAACTTTTTGGCTTTAGTAGCATTCATACATCTCAATAGTGTTTGGTCTCGACTTCTTTTATATAAAATTTCTCCATCTAAAAAGAAACTCATTGCTAGCCTTCTCAATGTTTTCTTATCATTCTCTGATATGTGCTCTGGGTACTGTTGATATTTAACATATTGTAATATGTCCAAATGCCATGGTTTTCCATCAACTCCTTCCTCATCATTTGAACAGTGAACTGGTTTCTCTCGTAAGCTCAATTTGATCGATTGGATTTTAGTGTTTCATTTAATTTGAAGATTGCTGCCAATGTAGCCAACGCATCAGCCATTTAATTCTCTTTTCAAGGTAAATTATGAAACCAAATATTCTCAAATTTTTGATCAATTCTAATATTTACTTTTGGTATAAAATTGATTTTGAGTCTTTGGTTTCCCATTCTCCTCGAAATTGGTATATGACTAAGACAGAGTCTCCATAAACTTTTAAAGCATGGTTTTTTCTTTCAAGAGCAGCTTAAAGACCCAGAACACATGCTTCATATTCTACCACATTATTGGTGCAATCAAAATTTAGTTTCGTAGTGAATTGGGTAGTAATCCCTTTCTGGAGATGTCAAAACTACTCTAATACCATGCCTCAAAGCATTTGATGCACCATCAAAATACATCTTCCATATATCTTCATTATGCTCTTCTTTATCTATGTGCAGTACAGGCATTAAGTCTTCATTTGGAAAATCAAATGTCACAGGCACATAATCTTCATGAGTGCATTCTACAAGAAGTTCAGTAATAGCACTTCCTTTGATTGCCTTTTGGCACACATATACAATGTCATATTTAAAAAGTAACACTTTCCATTTGCTATTCTTCCTGACAATGAAGGTTTTTCAAATATGTACTTGATTGGGTCTAATTTCACAATGAGCCAAGTAGTATGATACAACATGTATTGTCTGAGCCGATGAGTTGTCCAAGCTAATGCACAACACATCTTTTCCAATGGTAAATACTTTGACTCATAATCAGTAAACTTTTTGCTCAGGTAATAAATGGCTTGTTCTTTCCTTCCTGTTTCATCATGTTACCCTAAAACACATCCTATTGATTTTTCGTGCACCTTTAAATACAAGATAAGAGGTCTTCCAGGGACAAGCGACATTAATACTAGTAGGTTTGATAAGTATTCTTTAACTTTTTCAAATGCCATTTAACAATCTTCATCCCATTCTCCTAACCCGTGTTTTCAAAGAATCTTAAATATGGGATCACATTTAGCTGTAAGTTGGGAAATAAAATGAGCAATATAATTCAATCTCCCTAAAAACCCCCTTACTTCTTTTTGTGTACATGGAGGTGGTAGCTTTTGGATGGCACGTATCTTAGCTAGATCCACGTCTATTCCTCTTTTGCTAACAATAAATCCCAGTAATTTTCCTGAGGTTGCACCAAAAGTGCATTATTGAGGTTGAGCTAAAACTTTCTTAATCTTTTATATAACTTTCTGAGATTAGTCACATGATTTTTTTCTTCACAGGATTTGGCAATCATGTCATCCACATACACCTATATTTCTTTATGCATCATATCATGGAATAGAGTTACCATGGCACTTTGATAAGTTACCCTAGTATTTTCAAACCGAAAGGCATGACTTTATAGCAAAATATTCCCCATACTATTACAAAAGTAATCTTTTCCTTATCTTCTTATGCCATCTTAATTTGATTATAGCTTGAAAATCCATCCACGAATAAAAATAGAGAATGCCTAGTGCTATTGTTCACTAGAGTGTCAATATGAGGCAACGAAAAATTATCCTTTGCACTTGCTCTATTCAAATCCTAATAATCAACACATATTCTCACTTTGCCTTCTTTCTTGGGTATTGGGACTATATTCGCCACCCATTCAAGATATTTGGCCACTTCTAAGAATCCTGCATCAAATTTTTTTTCACTTCTTCCATTATTTTCAACAACATTTCAAGTTTCATCCTTCTCAGCTTCTATTTAATTAGTTTGCACTCAGGCTTTAATGGTAGCTTATGCATTACAATTTTAGTATCCAGGCCTGCATATCTTGATATGACCAAGCAAATACATCTACATATTCATGTAGTAACGTTATCAACTCCTACTTTATTAGTGATGACATCGAAGTACCAATCTTAACTTTCTTTTTAGTTTCTTCATCCCCCAAATTAACAACTTTAGTGGCTTCTTGATGAGGCATAATTTGCTTCTTTTCTTGTTCTACTAATCTTAATAATTCTAGGGATATTGTATGGTCTTCCACATTCTCTTGATCATCGAGTTCACCAATATAAATAGAATTTTCAAAATCAAATCCTGGAATATTGTCATGATGATTTTCATATTCATTATTCAAATACCTGAAAATAAGTGAAATGGACGAAATGTAGAATGATCTATAGTAATGTAAGGAATTGAAATGAAAGAGGCAAAAGAAATGGACAAATGGGCTACACTTGTCATTTATTTAATTGAAAATGAGGAAACAAACACACATAAGACATTTATTTAGATTTGGCTCAACACTTTACTTTGGAAGAAATTTAAAAACAACAGGTAGCTCCTCAACATGCCAATTTTTTAATTCTGCATCATGAGGAGTAAGATAAACCCATGGACAGCCTGGATCTTCGCTTTTCTTTTTTTTACCCACCATTTGTATTGAAAATTCAGTGAAGATATTTTTCAATAATGGTGTAAACTCTTTCTCTATGTTTCTTGCTACATCTAGATAGATATAGCTAGCTGAGATGAAAGTTTCATAAAGGGGAGGAAAATATAGGTCTTCAGTCTCTACTTCTTACCCCAAAAAATGAGCCAACCTTTTTTCTCTTTTTTTTTCTATGAACTTCATTCTTCTTTTTCGAGTTGGCTTATACCTTAGCCCAAACTGATCGTCTTTCTTAGGCATCATCCATGGTCATTGTATTCCCTACAAGTCAGCTCACACTTGTTGTCCTTTCCCTACCACTTCTTTAAGTGCCATTTTAGAAGTTTTGAATAAACATGGAATAGGCACTTTTGATCCTTCACCCACATAGGTTGCGTTAACGAATTTAAAGGATCTAAAAGAACATTTTAGAGCTTTCTTAGCTACTTCAATATATAATATGGTAAAGGATTTAGTCACCAATAGGTCTTCTTCACTAGCAACAATGACCACCTTTTCATCAATTATGAATTTTACTTTCTAATGCAGAGTGAAAGGAACAGCTCCTGGCATGTGAATCCATGGTCTTCCCAAAAGACAACTATAGGAAAAAACGATATCCATGATTTGAAAGACTATATCCAAAGTACATGGTCCAATTTGGATTGGTAGCTCAATACCACCTATCACTTCACGATGAGTCCCATCAAAAACCCTTATTATCATATGACTCATTTTCATGTAAGACATGTCAATTGGCAATCTAGATAGTGTAGTCATGGGCATGACATTCAAAGAAGATCCATTATCAATGAGCACCTTTACCAATGTATGATTCTTGTATCTTGTGGAGATATGTAAGGCCTTAGCATCACCTGTACCACCAGGTGGAATTTCATCATCACTAAATGATATATAATTTTCCACTATGATATTTCCCACTATGCGATCAAGTTTCTTCACAGGTATGTTATGAGCTACATAAGCCTCGTTGAGTACTTTGAGCAAAGCATTTCTATAAGGCTTAGAATTTAATAATAACAAGAGCATAGAAATTCAACCTAGTAAGCGATTTAATTGCTTCACTATACTATATTCACTATGCTTAATAAGCTTCAAAAACTCACAAGCCTCTTTTTTTGTAACCAAATTTTTACATTTTCGATCTAAGACTAAGGTTGGGTGAATCTCTTGATCATTGGGTGATTTATCTTCTTTTTTTAAGCTTGTTTCCCTTTTTTTTACTTTTTCTTTTCGTGCTCTTTCAAGTGCTTCTGGGTATAGCACCGCCTACTTCGAATTATGCCCCTAATGCCAGTTATGTTTGCTGTACTTGCATCACATGAGCCATATTGAAGAGAACCATTATCCAAACCTTGTGATATGATATTACAATCATATTTCCAAGGGACTACCTTATCTAATTTGTACGAGAATGGGCTAAGGACCTCAATTGTCACCTTTGACATAGTTGTACAAACTAGTTCATTAATTTTAGTACTCAATTTTTCATTATAAAAGATCATGATAGGCTCAAAATTCATATGAACTGGCTTATTAATCTTAACACTTGGTTTCTCTTCATAGAAGATGGTAACAGGCTCAAAATTCATTTGGTAAGGTGTATTTTTGGATGAGTCTTTCGTCATAACATTCACTGAACTTTCTTCATGTTCTTCATAAAATTCAACCAAGAAAGAATCCATCATTCTCTACAACTCCTATCAAAATGCTTTACAATCTTGAAGCGAATGACCAACCATCCCCATAGGGAATTCACAAGTGTGATCTAAATTATATGAGAAATTTCCATCATCGGAGTTTTCAGGTATTGGATGAATCATATTTGCTTTCACAAGGGTAGCAAATATTTCATCCACAGGGGTTCTATCTCACTTACTTCTCTTTTAATATTCTGAGTTGTCTCACTATTTAAAGCATTTATTGATCCTCTACCTTGATTAGGTGACAGATTAGCCTCCACACTTGGTTTGGCTTTAGTTATAAAATTTAAAATTCCGTTATCAATCAAGCTTTGCACCCTACGTTTGAAAGCCGTACAATTTTCTAAAGAATGGCCTTGAATTCCATAATGATAGTCGCAGGAAGCTTTAAAATCATACCACTTCGAATATGGAGGTTTCAAAGGTTTTATGAGCTGTTGAGCCACGAAGTATTTTTGGAATAACTGAAGGAACAATTTCGTGTATGTCATAGGAATCAGATCAAATCATTGTTGCTTTTGGTTATTTTGAGGTTCTCTTCAATTAAAATCTGTGGTATTTACCTAAGGGGAAGGTCGTGGTAAAGGTGCTCGAGGGTGAACATTGGCTTGGAAAGTAGGTGTCTAGGTTTGCATTGGTTGGTAATGGTATGGGTTTTGGAAAATATTAGGAATGACTGGGTAAGAAGGTTGGTATACAGGATATGAATGGTATGGGATAAAAGGTCTTAGTTTTGGTTTTTTGGTGGTGACAGCTTGCACTTCTGCTTTTTTTTTCTTGAATGGTCCTCCTTTCTTTGATCCAAAAACATCACCTTCATCAATCTTTCCATTTTTAATGGCATTTTCTATTATCTCTCCCATAATCACCATATTAACAAAGTTTTTCATGGCATGACCAATGAGCATGTCATAGTATGATGGTCGAAGAGTATTGATGAACAGAATAGTTTTTTCTTTCTTGATGAAAGGAGGTTGAACCTGAGCAGCAATATCTCACCTTTTCTAGGCATATTCTTTAAAATTTTCATTAACTTTCCTTTTCATGTTTTACAAGGACAATCTATCTGGAGCCAAGTCTATGACATGCTTGTATTGAGTAATAAATTCTTTGGCCAAATCTTTCCATGAATGAATACAACTCTTGTCTAATTGAATATACCATATGGCAGCAAATCCAGTAAGACTATCCTAAAAATAATAGATAATCAACTTGTCATTGTTTGTATACCTAGTCGTTTTTTGACAAAACATAGTGATATGTACTTGAAGGCATTTGGTTCCATCATATTTTTAAAATTTTGGTACTTTAAACTTTGGTGGAATTACCAAATCTAGAATCAAACTGAGTTCACTGGCATCAATTGTACCAAAAATATTTACACTTTCAATAGCTCATAGCCTTTCTTCCAAGAGATCTAACTTTTGTTGTGCCTTTGTATTCTTAGATTGTTCGAGCATGCCTTTCTTTAGTTTCTCCTATTTTTTTGGGTCATCTAAATCTGGGACCATAATGGGTTCAACATGACTTGCCCTAATATTTAAACCAACATGTCCTTGACTACGTGGTTAAACCGTGAAAGGAGGTAAATTAAACTGAGCATGTGGCTGCCTTTCAGGCTGTGTCATTTATGGATGCATTTGATGAAAGCTTTGAGCATAAGGTAGAGTAAACCCTAGTGGATACAATGGATCTTCCCTATCACTAGTATTTTCTTGGGCTTAGAGCTTTTTCTCAGTAGTTACTTCTTCAG